GATGAAAATAGCCTAAAATGCCCAGTGGTACATATGAAATAATAGCAATGGGCCTACACAAAACATTGTGCATGCTTTTTTGTTTCGTTTTGTGCTTTTTTTTATTGTCCAAACTTTTAACAGTGAGTATCTCAAGGAAAAAATACTCAATAATCAAAATGAGACTAAGGTTGAAATAACAGTATTCAATTATTTCAGCCTGATCATCACTTTTGTGACCACATGGTTGGTAAAAGAGCTGGTTAAAAAGCTCAACCCAGGATGCAACATCCAGGTAGAAAATATTTTTCAGTTTTATTATTTGACAATATTATTGAGCTGCAATTTAAGGTTGTTAGTTTAGTTATTGTTAAAGTATTATGCAGTTATTTTATAAGTGTACTTAAAATGTACAGGCTTCTTCATGTTGTGTTGTTACCACTACTCTATAATTATGCAGGCATCTTGCTTTAATTGATACACACTTCACATCAGTCTGTGATAGTCGCCCACTGGAAAAATTTATTTACCCTCTTAAATGCTGCTGACTTTTAAATTCAGAATTATACAATCAGTTTTTGCTTTTAGCTATGTACGCACTGGATGCTTTTTGCAGTGATTTCACTACGAGAGATCATACAAATCACATTCGGTGGCTTCAGCCGTCTATGGGTGAACCTCTCCAGTCAGGAAGTGGGCGTGACCCAAGATAAACTTCGCTCAACTTTCAGGCCAGTCACCCAGTGGTCAGCTTCATGATGATCATGTGGTGAGCAAATAGCTTTCAGTGTGTACACAGCTTAATACACTGTCTTAATATACTGTAGTACACATGTTTCAATTAATTACTGCACCCATTTTTTTTTCCTAGCTCAAGACTTTTGCAAAGCACTAAACATTGGTACTATTGTTATTATTAAATGACTGATATCACTGTTATAACAGGTGTAGTCTCCATGTAAATACCATGTTTTTAACATTTTGTTTAAAGTTACTGCCAGCTTACCAGTAACATCTTTAGGAAAACTTCATGCTGTCTGGCATTGTACAAAGCCTGTTTGAGGAGAATAACGGGCATGTCAGGATGTCCCAGCTGAACATCAGAGCTTGTTAGCTTCTCCAGCACAGCAGTGTACTTGAACACCAAAGTCTGTGTCACACACAGCTCATTTGCTATGCTTTTACTGGTGACTGGATGAGCCTCTTGAAGAACTGCAGGCACTGCAAGGAGAACACAAAAAGGTATAAATATCACTGGTGTGAGCTGAATTTATCACAAGACAGAATTTTGTCACAAGGCAGTGGTTTAGTGTGATTTGCAGACTTTCTATTGGGTGTTAAATATTTTTGTGAAATTTGTGATTTATTTTATTTTTTGTTTATTTTTTTTGTGATTTAGATCTGTGTGTTTTGTGAATCTATATACATTCTGCTAGACTTTATCATGCCCCGAATTAAGATTGAGTAGGCTGAAGAAAGACTGGAAGAGAAAATCCAGCGGGGAAACTAGAAAGCAAGAATAGGAGGAGGAGAACTGGAGAGAAGAGAGGGCCCGAGTCAGGGCGTGATAGCCCTGTGACAGCACAGGACACAGAACACAAAGCTGACATGTGGGAGATGCTGGAGCTGGAACTGGCTGCCATCGCCACTACCCGGACACTGGAAAGAGGCCTGACAGAGTGGAGTTGGGTGTAAGTTTCTCTAGTTCATTTTGAGTTTATTCTTTCTATGTTTCTGAATTTTCTTGTGTTCCCAGTTTAGTCTCTCGTCTGCTGGGTCCTTCTTGTGCCTTTTGTGTCTCCTGTGAGAATCTGTCTTGTTGTCTGTGTTTACGTTTCTGTGCATATAGCTCCCTCGCCCTCTGTGTGTCCAGTCGTTGTGTTTTGTCTCCTTTTTCTGTACA